CTCGACGGCATCCTGAGGGATCTCCCTTTTGCACAGCGTTCGGTCATCCCTGTGGGAGGGTCGGCGGCGAGCGAGGGGGGGAAGTGAGAAGGAGAAGGCCTTCTCAGAAAACTGTGGGACTTCTCAGAAGCCCTCGCGCCGTCCGAGAAGTCTTCTGTGTCTCCGGGGAATGCTCAGAAAACTTCTCAGAAAGCCGGGGGACTTCCGAACCTTCTGAGAAGACCTTCTCCTCACATCCCCCCCTCGCTCGCCGCCAAAAGGGGCTTGCGGTATGCCTCCTCGCCTCGGATCTGCCGACCTCCTCCCCCTCCTGCTCGTCCTCCCGCTCCCCTCCTCCCACTCCTCGTCCTCCCCCTCCCGCTCCTCCTCCCCGCTCCTCGCCCTCTCTTGCCTCCGTGCCTGCCCTGGCCATCGCGGCGTCTGTTGCTTTAAAAGCCGAAGAATACCAAAACCCATACAGTCAAAACACGCATAGCGAGGATGGGCAACCTTACCAAAGGTATGCGCTGGTCGTTGAAAATACGTATTCTTGGCTTCCCAGATTCCGATCTACTTTAGGCGCCTTCCTATTTCAATCATCCAGTTGTTTCCCTTCTTCCCTCCTCTTCAAGGGGCGGGCGGAAGCGCAATCTACGTCCAACGCCTTTCTATTTCCTCTTTTTACCCACTTCTTCCGACCGATGGGTACCCTTGCATCCTTGCCTCCTCGGTCCATCCTTGGCTACTTTACTGGGCCGCGCCCCGCTCGACAAGCCTCGAAGTGGGCGTCCAAGGAGGCCCGTGCATCCTTACCGCGCATCCTTATGTGATACGGGCCGACTGTAAACATAAACAGTTTGGCGCTCCGCGCGGATTTCTTGGATCTGCGTGCGCGGCCTCCAGCGAGGGGGGTCCGGCGCAGATCCAAGAAATCCGCGCGGAGCGTCGAAAGTTTATGCTTATTGTTTCATTTCTTCTTCTTCTTAAAAGAGCGCTTCTCTGTTGAATTCGAACGGCCGAGAAAAACCCACGGAAGAGTCCCTCAGGGGGGGGACGGGGAGTCCGAGACGGCCCGCCCGAGATCGCCCACAGTCCGGCAACCGTTTCATGTGAGGTCTTCTCGCAGTGTATGCAAGAATCGTGCTCTCGCCTCATTAGCGATTGCATGCTTATTCCAGACAGCCACTGTTTTTTTTCTCAACACATGTACTAAAGTAGTGCACATGGCCGTTCTCTCACTCCTGTCCATCGAAGAAAAAAAGCCATAAACATCAGCTTGCGGCGGTTCGCGCGGATTTCTTGGATCCGCGCCTGGGCCCCCCTGGCGGCGCCTCCGGCGCCACCCCTGCTGGCGCGCTCCACGCGTCAGGGAGGGGCGGGGGGTCCAGCGCAGCTCCAAGAAATCCGCGCGGAGCGCCAAAAGTTTATGTTTATGCCGTTTGCTTTTATTCTTCTACACAATGCATTCAAGAACCGTGCTCTCGCCTCAATAACGATTGCATGTATGTTCCGGACGGCCACGATTTGTTTTCAGCACATGTGCTAAAATGCACATGGCCATGCTCTCACTCCTGTCCAGGCACGCGAAAGATTCTGACGCAAAAGTGAGCACCCTAGTTACCGCTCCCAAGAATACCTAGGAGTGTGCGTTTTCACTGGCAGACCTTCTGCTCATCGACCCGCCTCTTCGCTTTTGCTACCATCAGGGTGCTTTGCTGGGATACTTGTTCCATGGTTCGCCACGACTGGCCCAGGATGCCCAGTAACACCCGAAGTCTTGGGCCAGGGAGAGGGCAGCCCCCCGAGTGCTGACTTGGGTGCGTGGACGCTCACATATGTCAACGTCTGTCGCCATGTTAGCGTCCGGGGGGGGGATGATAGAGTACAACCGGCGGGGAGGGGGTGATAGAGTACAACACCCTACCCATCGGTCGTGGAAAGTCGGTATTTCTGGAGTCCCAGATTCCAGTCTACTTTAAGCGCTTTCATACGTCAATGATCGAGTGGCTTCACCTTTTCCGTCCTCTTCAGGGGGCGAGCGCGAATCCGAGAAATCCGCGCGGACCTCCGAGTTTTTATGTTTATGTCATTATTCACTCCCCCAACATAGCACAGCACTTTAACGATAGGGTAGATGCACAGGCAGTCCAGAATCGACTACGCAAAACTGCGGCTCACGCAGCATAGCCTGTTGTTCCCATCCCAAGGTGCACTGGGCCATCTTGAGACTGACGAAGGTGTTGGCCAGAACCGTACCTCATTACACAGATGACGAAGGTCCTAGGCGAAGCACTGCGACAATGTATGTCACCACGAAGAGCGTCGTAGAAGGCGCCTGTGTTAGCGTTCACGAGTTCAGATATCTGTGGACTTCAGCCCTCAGTCAGCCCTGGAAGCGGTAGGCAGTTTTTGTTACCATTTTCAAAAAGATGCCTCCTGATTATACTTTCCATCTTTATGTTATATATTTAACAGAAAACGGTTCACCGAAACTGTGGGAAATCATTCACCGAAACGGGTTGGGCAGTCCAGCGACCTGAAGGACGACCAGAACCAGTTCGGATACAGTTCGGACAGTAAAAGCTCCTCATTCTAGAAGTGACCTTCCATGCCTCCCCAGGGCCCTCCCCGAGCCGAGCCCCATCGCAGGATCGTCAAAAGGGTTCTTCAGACAGACTCCGCTCCGGAGGGGAGCCCTGGGTCGAGGACGCGCTTCCCTCAGGACGCCTTCCTTCCAAGGCAAGTGGGGAACGAGTGAGGGCGTGCTCGTCGCACCGCCAACCCGGCGGCCCCTCCTCCTCCTTCTCCTCCTCCTCCCCCTCCTCCTCCTCCTCCTCCTTCTGCTCCTCCTCCTCCTGCTCCTCCTCCTCCTCCTCCTCCCGCCCCTCGGGTGAAGCCCGTACTAGCGCGGGTGCATGCCATGTCGGGAGTTGGGCCTGGGGTGCGCTCGCGCTGCTGGGTGCAGCTTGGCCACTCGGGCACGGCGGATCTCGAACCTCGATCATCCCCCCTTGACAGCCACACACGCACAATTGCGCGTCGCGCGGCCACGCGAGCGGCGGCGCGGCGTAGGTCAGGTCAGGCGAGCGCGCGGCCCGGCCCAGCTCACGCGGCGTGGAGCAGCTGGATCCACCCATCGGGGATCGACGGACATGGGGAAATGAGGGGGGAATGAGGAGGAGAAGGCGCAGTGCGGCGGTGAGAAGCCGAGGCAGCAAGCGACACACACACACACACACACACACACACACCCACGCACGCGCGCGCGCGCACGCACGCACGCACGCACGCACGCACGCACGCACGCACGCACGCACGCACGCACGCACGCACGCACGCACGCACGCACGCACGCACGCACACACGCACACACACACACACACACACACACGCACGCACGCACGCACGCACGCACGCACGCACGCACCCCCCACACGTGCAAGCATGCATGCGTGCATATCTACATACATGCATACATACACACAGACACACACACACACACGCACACACACATACATACATGCATACATACATTCATACGGACGTACATGCATACATACATACATGCATGCATGCATACATCCATACATGCATACATGCATAACATATACATATACACATATATACACATACACACATACATGTATACAGACAGACAGACAGGCAGACAGACATACAGACAGACAGACAGACAGACAGACAGACAAGACAGGCATACATACATTCATACATACATACATTCATACATACATACATACATACATACACATATGTATATGAACACGTAAAGCACATGAAAGCCTTCTGGGGATCGCTCCTCTTCTCTCCCGAGGACTGCCCATTGTGAGGATTCGCTCCCGCACCAGCGTCAGCGTTTCCTGGGGGGGCTCGCCTCCCCCTCGGGATCCAGGCCCGCCAGGTCACCGTCCTCGTGGTCGACTTCGAAGTCGAGGATCGACGATCGTCGATCGTGTATCAAGGTTTTTCGCGAGCTGTTCGCCCGTCGCGGGCGTCCAGAGGCCCCTCGGGAATTCGGATACTTCCAGGTTGTTTTTTCTTGTTCCCCCTATTTCCTCTCTCCTCTATTCTCCACTCTCCGCTTCCTCTCTCTGTCCTGGCCGACTTGGCTGGGGAGAATGAGGAGGGACCTCGATGCGAGCTCGATGCAGCAGCGACTGCCATTCCGGTCCGATGCGGAAGGCGTACAGCGATTCTGCCCCGATCGGGTGGCGCGATATTAGGATGTATTTTCGATGTGTTGTTGATCTCACACGTTCGTCACATTCGATCTCGAGTTTCTGATCCGATGGGGTTGGCTTGCGGTACCGTTATAGCAATGGGAGCGGTTGTTTCTAACCTGAAAAGCAGTATCGTCCTCGCCAGGACGGAACCGACAGCGCGATGCTGAACGACCTCTCGGGTTCCCTTCCTCCGCACGGCACAATCTCACGCGTAAGAAGTTGGCCCGCTAGTTGGTGCCTCTTGGGTGCACCTGAAGCTATGGCATCATTGGGGATCGGGGACCCAAATGACTCAGTGGTTCGGGATAAGATCTGCTCCGACACGCTTCCCCATCCTCATCTCAGTTTTCAGGAAGTACTTGAGGCGACTCGTATGTTCATTCGGCGGTCCTTTTTTCCATCGGCCAGTTCACTACAGACGCGCTTGATCCGTGTTCACGCCACAGCATCGCCAGGATGAGTTCATACAGGGCATCCCGCCCCCCGGCACGAATAGGATTGTGCGTCCGAGTCGCACTATATACCCTGCACATTTCTTTTTAGCCCACGACCGCTTTCACGTCACAGCATTTTTATGATGCGCTGAAATTTGGCCTCCCTCCATCTGGCATGAATAGGACGTTGCGTCCGAGGCGCCAGAATTACCTCCCCCATCCCTCTTTTCTTCCTCCCCGTCCCCCCGAGGAGAGCATGAATCAGCTGGACAATTTCCAGCCGCCATCACTCTGCACCCTGTTTCGCGGAGTCGCCATCAACGCCAGGCGCATACTTCCCGCAGAGGACAGACACAGGGATATAGAGAATGAGGGCAGGGACAGAATTAGGTTCTGCCTGAAGAACAAGTAGGTCGAGGACCGAGGCAGGAGTGCAAAGAGGAGCGCTGAGGGAGGACAGGCGCGCATCACCGCTTGGATCGGATAGTGGGAGACCAGGGCGAGGGATCATGCGCACCGTTGTCATTATGCCAGCTGCAGCAGCTTCAACGCGCGTCCAGTATGCAACGTGGCTGGGTTCGGTACACGCGGACTTGTGCTCTGATGCCCGCTCAGTCAAGAATTACGCAAGCAATGCGAACGCCAAGTCAGGGCCTCTTTGTCCGAGCCGCTGCCGACTAGGAACATCCCGTACCTGGTAGCATGCTAAGAGGAGGAGATTGTGCTTCCCTGGCAAATCCAACCAATGACGCTTAAATACGAATGCGCCATACCTGCACTTAGTTTCCATCACCCCAGCTCCAGAAGCCAACAGCCTAGAACCGATGTCTTATCTGGTTATCCGACGCTGATGCGTTCAGGGCCGAAGTCTCATTGGAACAACCAACTGCTTCAAAGCAAATCTTGTATGCCGCCGCGCCACACATCCCCCTCTTCGCCCTCATCCTCTTCTCGCATAGTGTTCCCGCCTGCCCGTCCTGCCCTAATTCCTCCGGCCCATCGTTTGCGCGGGGCGGAAAAAGGAGTTTCCCCCCGGCCCGGGGGCACCCGAGTGGATCCTCATCCCCTTGTCACGCACGGGGACCACCCCATTCAGTTTGCACGACCACGCTGCCCGCTCCTTGTCTTCCTCCTCCTCCTCCTCGCCTCCTCCTTCCTCTGCCTCCTCCTCCTCCTCCTCCTCCTCCTCCTCCTCCCTGTGCCGTCCCCGTGCTGGCCAGGCGCTCCTCCGAGGCACGCCGCGGGGCAGCACTGCTGTTGCGGTCTGCAGTCGGCGAGCTCGTGGAGTCATCGTCGCTTGGCCAGTGTGCTGACTGCAGGGAAAATTTGTTGGGCTGGGAGGACCGAGTCATCCCTTGGCGCCCCGACTAGCGCTGACCGCCACCGACCGACACGGGGGCCCTCAGACCTCGTCCTTGGGGGCGTTCGCGAGGAAAGCCTTCACGATTGCCTTGGCTCTTGGTCCTCTCCGTGACGGTTTGCCGAAGATCAGGAGGGAAAGAAACACACAGACACAATTAATCGTCGGGTCCCAGGAAAATATGGGAGAATGTGGGCAGTGGGGGGGAGACAAAAAAACCGAAAATATTGGAAAATATGGGGAATTGTCTTATTTGTGTGTATGTATTTGTGTGTCCTGGGGCCCCTTCAGAAGATCTCGCGCTGCACGTGAAGCTCTGTGCGTCAAGACTGGCCCCGACCGGCCTTCACCGCCCGGTCCCCGCGGTGCCTCTGCTCGGCGGGCGGCCCGGCGGGGTCCTCCCTGCAGGCAGGGCAGGCTGCGCGCGCGCCCCGGGATGGCGTGTGTGTGTGTGTGTGTGTGTGTGTGTGTGTGTGTGTGTGTGTGTGTGTGTGTGTGTGTGTGTGTGTGTGTGTGTGTGTGTGTGTGTGTGTGTGTGTGTGTGTAACGGGGCTCGAAGTTACGTCGGGCATGTCCCTCTACAGGAGAAGTAGCCAAACATACTCAAGACATTGTTTTGGGACGGTGTGTCCATTATCTTTGTCTGTGTTTGAGTATGGTTTGATTATTTTTGTTGTTCTCCCATAGTCATAGTCCGCTTGTAGGAGGTCATGCCGTATCTGATGCTGGCACGGCCCTCTGCGAAGCCTTTGGGGCACATGGCCGCGGAGGTGGGCAAGCGCTGCTGCATGTTTGGCGAAGTACATGTGGGGGAGGAGGAGGAGGAGGAGGAGGAGGAGGAGGAGGAGGAGAAGAAGGAGAAGGAGGAGGAGGGGGAGGAGGAGGGGGAGGTAAGGGAGGAGGGCGGAGGAGGTGGACTGGCGTCCCTCCTTGTTTCCTGCCCCCCCCCCCCCTCGAAAGGCGGAGATGGGCAGGAATCCTCGCTCCTCCTCCTCCTGCTCCTCCTCCTCCTCCTGCTCCTCCTCCTCCTCTTCCTCCGCCTCCTCCTCCTCCTCCTCCCCCGTAACCATTTTTGCTCAAGTGGGATACCCCCCACTTGTGTCAAAATGCTTCCGCGGCCGTTCCCCTCGAGGCCTCCCGGCCGAGCGTCCGGGTTCGGGCGCTGTGGAGGCGGGATTCGTTTCTTGGCGCTGGCTTCGTCGCGGAGGACCGCGACGCCGTCCGGCTTGGGGACAAGCTAGAGGACAAGGGTGCGCGACCGGCTTGAAGTACAAGTTGGAGGACAAGCTCTGGTGCCGCTCGGAGGTTGAACTCGGGCCCTCATGCAGATGGGCAGTTTTTCTTCAGCAATTTGGTTTCCACGGAGGTCGTAATGTTGAACTGCAAGGCTCAAGTATGAGCAAGAGAGGAGGTCGCCACGTGGGGCAGCAAACCACTTTCCTTAACTCCTTCGGCGTGCTCCTCGGGGCTTGTGGCCAGGCAGTTCCTCTGTCGCGCTGGCCAGTTCGTCGGGGTGTTCTTCGAATTTGGAGGTCGCTCCTCCCTCATCCTTCTCGAGCAAGGGCGCGGGGCGCCAAGTCGGCAGACACTTTTTTTTTTGGACGCGTGCTGGTCCTCCTCCTCTCTTCCTCCTCCTCCTCCTCCTCCTCCTCCTCCTCCTCCTCTTCCTCCTCCTCCTCCTCCTCCTCCTCCTCCTCCTCCTCCTCCTCCTCCTCCACCTCACCCTCACCCTTCCCCTCCTCCTCAGGCGATCGCAAACATGGACCGAGGGGGCGTGGATTAGCGACGGGTCCCGTTTCCATACGGATTGCAGACTTCCGCCGCCAAGCGAGGCGGCGCCAGCCGCATCTGGGGGAGGGCCCCCCCCCCCGGATCCGTAGATTTGGTGACCGCGCGCCAAATCCATGGATCGCTGACCCGTGTCTGCGCGCCCCCGAGTTGTGACCCCTGGCCGGCGTTTCCGCCCCTGCTCCCCGTTGCGATTCGCGCGGCGTCGAGGGGCGCGGCCCGGCGATCTCGGGCCGCCCCAGTCTCGGCCCCCACAGGTTTGTTGGTAATTCTGGGAGTCGCACGGGCCCCGCCCGTCCCGCCTGCGCCCGCCCCCCCCCCCGCCCCGCCGAGCGGCCCCGCCCGGCCGCCTCGCGGGCGGGCGCGCGCGAGGCGGCGGCACTGCGGCGCAGAGAGGCAACAACAGAAAGGGAGGGAGGAGGAGGAGGAGGAAGCGGACGAGGACGAAAAGGGGAAGCGACCGCTGCGCACACCGCGCGGCTAGAGCGATCGGGGCGAAGATGCGGCCGCGGGGCGCGGCCCTCGGCGCCCCGGCCTCATGTCCGGAAGGTCCGCCCGGAGTGCGGCTCGCATTTCGGCGACGCGGGCTTCGGCATGGTGGGCGGGGTTGGCTCGTGGCCAAACCAAACGTAGGGAAAGGTGCTCGTTTGTCACGCCTCGTTTTGCCGATGGGCGCGGCTCCGCCCCCCCCCCTGGAATGGATCTTGGCTGTTTTGGGGGGGCCTGTTTCGAGCAGGAGGAGCCTCCCCCATAATGGGCGCCCTGTTGCAAACAGCCGCGCTAACTAAGCAGAGGTCCGGAGCCAGACCCTCCTCCCCCTCCCTTCCGTCCAACGTCGAAGCGCCGAATAGGGAGACGCTCGCAAGCGTGGCTCGTGTTTTCCAACAAATCGCCCCGTTGCTCGACAGTTCGCGCAGATGGAATGCGGGAGGCTTTGGCTCGTGATTTCCGACCATTCTGCGCGAGTTCGGCGACGCAAACAGCAGATTGCCATTAGCACCGTTAAGCAACCATTCGCGCGGCCCTACCTGCCTTTCCACATGTTTCAGGTCTGGTCGGCCGACGCGGCGCGCGTCGCAGACAATGGGGGAGAAAGGAAGAAACAGGGAGGGGAGCGAGGAATCCGCATGGAGGAGACGGGTCCTATGAAGGGAAGAGGTCTCAGAACGTCTCGCTGTCTTCTCAGTTTCTCGGGGCCCGTCCCCGGGTTCCGGGAACGCGAAGGAGCCGTGCGGGATGAGGAGCACTGGGGCCCCGGGGGAAGGAGGCCAGGATCCGGGGAGCCCATTTCCACCGAGACCCCGTTGGGCTTCATGTTCCTGCCGGGAGGGGCGGCGGAGGTGAGTTCCCACGCCGCTGGCCTGCGTTGCTCTCTCCTCCTCCTCCTCCTCCTCCTCCTCCTCCTCCTCCTCCTCCTCCTCCTCCTCCTCCTCCCTGTTGGGCTTCCTGCGACGAGCGAGTCCCGCGTCGCCTTTGCGCCCGTCGGCGCGTCTCCTCTGCTCTCCCCCCGAACCGCCCCAACCCGACCCGAAAGCCCGGGGTTGCTCTCCATTCCCAAGGGACAGACGTCGTGGAACGCCGACACAGCACAATTGTAGCCCGCACGCCCCCAAACCAAACTGTCGGGACCTCGGGTTTTGGTTGGGGTGGCCTGGAGGGTACGCAGTCACTTCCAGGGTCGCGACGGCGTCATGGGCTGGTGTCTGGGGCCTCGCCATCCTTCCCCTTGGAGGGGGCGAGGAGGGGGGGCGGAGAGGGGACGGAGGCTGGACGGCGAGGCCCCCGAGGGGGCCTCGTCGCAGACGTCGAGCGCGCGCCCCCCCCCGCTCTCCGAGGGTTCGGGGGCCTTGGGTCCCCGATCGGGGAAGCGTAAATCAAGCAGTGGCGAAGCGTCCTGGCTCGCCTATAGCCCTACCAAACAAGGTTCTAAGAACCTTTTGTGGTTTCCACGAAATGTTCTTAGAACATTTCTGGCGGAGTCTGTTTTGTTTTATCACATCGGGTTTATGTTCTAAGAACACTGCTTTTGTGATTAGAACATTGATGGGTTCTAAGAGCATGTCGTGGTATGACTATAGGAATGCCGGGGCGGACGGTCCCTGCTCAATTCGCGGGGCGTCTGCGGCGGGAGTCCGCGTCAGAGTTCGGCCTGGGTCTCGCCAGTTCCTTGCGGCCCTTCAGGGCGAGCCCGAGTCCCC